TCATGTTCCTCCTCATTTTGCTGCATTTTCAGAATTGTCCGTGATGCTCCTCTTCATGTTGCTGCATTTTCACAATTGTGCGTCATGTTCCTCTTCATGTTGCTGCATTTTCACAATTGTGCGTCATGTTCCTCTTCATGTTGCTTCATTTTCCTTCATGATCCTGTTCATTTTTGCTTCATGTTCCTTCCTGTTTCTCCTCATTTTGCCCGACTATTTCCTCGACTATTCCCTCGTCTATCTCCTCGACTATTTCCCGACCATTTCCGGACCATTTCCCGACCATTTCCTCTTCCCGTGTCTTTCACAGTCTTCCCGCAGCTTGTTCTCGACTATTTCCTCGACTATTTCCCCGACGATTTCCCGGCATAGTTTGCCCGATTTGTAGATGTGTGTTGAAATGAAGGCGCAGCGAGGGAAAGAGCCAGCACGCCGAAACGTCACTCCTCGCTCTCCTCTACGTTCCTAGCTGCCTTTCTTGCCTGGAACCGCCACTGCAAAGGAAGAGAGCGTGATAAGCAAGTTCCAGCGCTCCATGCCTCTGCCCCGTCGGGCGTCGGAATGCGCACTGCCTGCCGAACCTACCCTGCTCCAAAGAATCTGCGGCCCGTGGTGTGGAGTCGCTGCGGATCAAAACTTTGGACACCCTTCAGAATCTGCTGACGCAGAAAGTCCTCATCCAAAGGATGGCGGCGGGCCCGAAGCTGAACTTCCAGAAGTGGTGGACACGTGCTTTGCGTCGCACACGCAGCGACGGGGCCCCCGGGCGTGAGTCCGGACACGAAGTGCAGTTGCTGGCATTTCCTGCGGCGGGGCCACTGACCCATTCTGTCGCGTCTTTGTGCGCGTGTCTGCGTGTCCCCGCCCCCGCCAGCCATGCGCGCCCCAGCGCAGATCGATGCTTGCTCCGAGGGCTCCGGCGCCGAAGCGCCTGTGAGCCTCGGGAAGTCTGTGCAAGCGCAAGAATTGTTAGCTGTCACCTGTCTATGGAAAATTCCTCACATACAAAATACTAAAATATATTGTAGTTTGTTGAAAAACAATATCATTTGGCTTTCATTTTTATTATAATAGAAATCCAAATTAAGAGGACAGAAACGTAAAGATGGCATGACAAAGATAAAGATGCCATCCCTTTCCGTCTCCAAGCCTCTATTCTATGGCTCTCCGTTCGTTCACCTGGCATGCGATTCCAAGAGCTGACAGGTGGGTGAATCTCTTTCTTATGCTCGCATTTGACCGAATCCTATGCCAGGCTGGAGAACGAAATGAAAGGAAATAAAGACAAAGGGAAAGCAAAGATGACGTGAATTATTTAAGGGCTGCCGCCCAGTGCCGCCGACCCCTCCACTGGGGGCCAGCCCAGGTTTTTTTTGTTCTGGCAGCGGCTTTTGGCTGGTTCAGGCTTGCTTGCTTGCTTGCTTGCTTGCTTGCTTGCTTGCTTGCTTGCTTGCTTGCTTGCTTGCTTGCTTGCTTGCTTGCTTGCTTGCTTGCTTGCTATCGGGCGGGCCGTGACAGAGCTTCAGCGCTGAAAACTGTGCCCTGCAGGTGCTTGAGCGCTTTTCCAGGCCGCACTCGTTTGCCCACAGCGAGCACCAACCAAAGGAGTGCGCCGGCAGCAGATAGGAAGAAAACAGGCCGAACGGGCTGGCCGTGACAGAGCTTCAGCGCTGAAAGCTGTGCCCAGCAGGTAGTTGAGCACTCTCGGCCTCCTCAGCTCAGGGGCAGTTGGTGTAGTGGTATCACACTCGCTCAGCATGCGAGAGGGGCCGGGCTCAATCACCGGCCTGTCCATGCCTATGTACGCCTGCGTCTGTCGCAGTTTGCTTATCCCTGGTCTTTCTCCCTTTGGGTTTGCTGTGCGTCTTGCCAAGGGCGGCTGCTCCGCCGCGGCCGGGTGCCGAACGTCACTTTTGAATCCTATATAGAAAGTAGAAAGCTATCGGTCCCCAGGGCGCAACCAGCAAGAACAGCTTCGCGTCCAGCGCGCTTGGAGGCCGCACTCGCTTCGCCGCAGCGAGCACGAACCAAAGGAATATGCAGTAAGGCTATCGGTCCAGAGGGAGCGGCCAGCCACAAAAGCTTCGCTTCCCGCGCTTTTCCAGGCCGCACTCGTTTGTCCACAGCGAGCACCAACCAAAGGAGTGCGCCGGCAGCAGAAAGGAAAAGGAAAGAAAAGAAACGAAGAAGAACAAGAAAAAAGGGAAAGAAAGAAGGCTGGTAAGGTACAGGGCTGAACGGGCGAGGGCGAAAGGGAAGGGAGAAGGCTGCCACAGTCACGCTCCAACGCTAAACGAACACTCCCCCAGCGCCTTCCCCTTGCAGGCAGGGGGGTCGGCGGATATAGAATAGAAATGCTTTCCCTTTCTTGTTACCTTTGTCTCTCCTCCCTATCATTGACGGAGAGCAAAGGGAAAGGGAACCATCAATCTCAGAGATGAACCGAGTGAACGAAGTGAATGGGAAATCTCATGCCTCACTCACTCTCCGTTCGTTTACCTGGCATGCGATTCCAAGAGCTGACAGGTGGGTGACAAGGGAGTCTCTTTGGTCATCCCTTTAACCGCTATCTCATGGACTCTCTCCCTTGACCGTGTTAACGAGCGAGGATGACATGATGAAGGGAAATATTAGAATAGAATTATTATTAACAAATATTATATAATTCGATTTTATTAATCCATCCCGCCTCTCAGTCTTCTCTGTGAGGCATGAAGGGATGGATGGGTTGGAAGAGGATGAACACGACCCAATCCATCTTTTCATCTTCATTATTTGGATTGGGTGAGTGGGTGGCATGCCATCCCTTTCCGTCTCCAAGCCTCTCTTCTATGGCTTGGTCAAGGGAAAGGAAGGGGATGGGAAGGACCAGCTCACGCAATCTTCATTGATTTGCTTGTCTGTGAGCTGGGTTAACCCTTCCCTTCCTCCGTCTATCCCTTTCCATCTCATGCCTCGCTCACTCTCCATTCGTTTACCTGGCATGCGATTCCAAGAGCTGACAGGTGGGTGAATCTCTTTCTTATGGTTATCTCGCTATGAATGGGCCTATCACACATCTTCCTCCTCAGCCCAGCCGCTATGACGTGAGGAATAGAAAGGCTTGGAAGGAGGAGGTGGGGTGGCTTTCTTCATCCCCACCGCTCTCCCACTGTCGAGGAAATGGTCGAGAAAGAGCTGCGGGAAGACCACGCAAGACTAAGGGAAGAGAAAGTAGTCGAGGAATTAGTCGAGGAAATGGTCTGGAAAGAGACTTGTTCTTCTCATGTTCCCTCATGTTGCTTCTCAGTTTCCGTCACGTTCATTCATTTGTGCTGTTCATTTTCCTTCATCTTCCTTTTCATGTTCTTCCATTGTCCTTCTCGTGTTACTTCATTTTCCGTTTTGCGTTCGTAGTTCCTCCCTGATTTGCGCTGTTACTACGCAGCAGTGTTTCCGTTGTTTGTCTGCTCTTCCGCTGCTACCGCGCACTCTCGTTTTGCCAAGGCACATGGACCGCGACCCGCAAGCCGGCAGCATGCTCTTCGAGAGGCATGCCGCACTGTGTGGGTTTCGTGTATTGAAGGCACCCTTTCCTTGCTGGTTCTCAGGGAATGACCATGGGTGTTGAGAATGAACTTTTTTGGGATTCCCTTAAAGGAAACCTTAGGCGATGGGATATAGGCGTCGTTCCCTCATTCCCTGCCGAGCAAGAGAAAGTTTTGGCTGTGTTCAAGGGAAACCAAAGGGAACTCTTGTTGAGGGCATCCTTTTGTTGGGTTTGGATTTTGGGATACCAAGAAGAAACCACCTTTTTGGGGGAGGTTCCTAGTTGGACACAACCCATGTTGTTTGCTTTGATTTGGCTGTTTTATAATGACCATACGATTGCCGCAGCACACATTGATCAAGTTCCGGGATGCCGTGTCCAAGCTATATTTGATACTCCGGGTGTTCACACCTTTGTCTTGACATATAAATGAGCCAATCATTCACTTTCAAGTCCTTGGTCCCTGTTTATTCGATACAAATTCTATTGGTTTGACTTGATTTGAGTAAACATGTTAGTATGTGAGTACAATTGTGAATGTTTTCCTTACGGCTTGGAGCTTTGTCAACTGGATTCCCTGGCTAAGCTATTCAGTGTAGTTGTTGTTTCATTGATTCATTGACCTGAATGCTGCTGCATGTCGGACATGCACAGCTCCCCTGGAGCATTTGGGTTTGTGTTCTTAAGGGTATCCCTTTTCAGGTTGGTTTAACGGGAAGATTTGGGCAAACCCATTCTTGAAATCAGGCCATATGGGTGTGTCTTGTTTTAGCGTTTTAGGTGCCCCCTCCAAACTGCTGGTTTTCCTTCTCGGCTCCCTTCCCCCCCAAGAAGAAAAACACCCTGAACAAAAAAAATAGTACTCTCCCAACAAAAAGATAGACCCTTATCAGTAGCAAGCTGCTAGCTGAAGCGCGGCTTGTTTTGTCTTAAGGGCGCAGACCTTCGCCCGGGTCTCCAATTTGAGGAGATGCTCGCGAATATGCTGTGGCCCCTTGCATGACACATCGACCTGGAGTCTCCATGACCCTTTAAAAATGGAGTCATTACCCAAAACAAAGGGGTCATGGACCCATTTTTCAAGGGTCATGGAGACTCCAGGGACTGACAAAGGTTAGACATGAAAATCTTCGGGGTCTTGCCTAAACTTCCCTATTGCCCGCTGGAATGGTAGTGTACAAACTGGCGTTCCCATCCCTTTACTTGTTTTGATTCCAAGGACGCAGGGCATTGAGTCACTTTCACTGGGATCTCCTTTGCAACTAGGTTTCACTTGCAGTTCAGCAAATATGGACCAGAATCAAACATGTTGTTTGGTTCGTGGCAAAAGATGAGGTAAGTTTTACTCCCGCCAGAATTCCTTGAAGTCCCCCCCCCCAAAAAAAAAACACACAAAAAAAGCAAGTTGTCGCTTGGTCTGGGCGTTAGGCAGGTTGGCTTCGGCCGGCCTTTGAGCAGCCGCAATGGTGTGATGACCTTCTACGACGAGGCTTTCGTTGGTGTCATTTTGTGCCTGAGAGCCAAGGGCTGCACCAAGCTGCCCTTTGCTTACAAATGTGGTTGATTTTCCCTTGTTGGTTTCAATCAATTGGAATCTATCACTACTGGAAACATGCTTTATTTTTCCGGGGCTTGAGCAAATGGAAGCAAGTCATCACACACACACACACACACACCTCGCGACATGTTCTAATAGATGTCCGTGTCACTCGGGGGCGGAATGGAATGTGTTAAAGAACCAGGATGGTGGGGGGCAATAGGTTGCCCGCGAACAGATCTTCCAAAGCGGCAATGGGTGTCCTGAGTTTAGGGAGTGGAGCTTTGTAGGAGACTTGTGCCAGTCACATCAGCAGTTCTCAGCTGGAAGACGATTGCCATTCTTCTTCGACAACCACATGCTTCTTGGTCCACACACACACACACACCTTGGACAAAGGCTGCCACATGTTGTCTTCACAAGCGTCCCAAAGGGAATCCTTAATCCCTTGATGTGAAGCTATGTGCGTCTCCATTAAACCTGCGAACGGTTTTATGTTTTGGCTCAGATGGGAAAACTCAGCCAAGGACCCCCAGACAGTTGTTGCGACTTCCGTCTCTCGCAGGACCTTCCGCTGTACTACATCCAGCTGGATCGGCAGCGTCTCAAGGAGGGGTAGTTAGGGCACGGCCAGAAGTTGCGGAAATGAAAGCAGTGGGTAACCTGCACAGTTCGACATGTTTTTTCTCTTGTGGGGGCAATTGGCTGGCATCATTTGGCATCATTTGGCCGCGATGGTCCGAGATTCACCGACATTCATGTCACCATGTCTGGTGTATACCTGGAGTCTCCATGACCCTTGAAAAATGGGTCCATGACCCCTCTATTTTGGGTAATGACCCCATTTTTAAAGGGTCATGGAGACTCCAGGTATTTCTTTTACAACCGACAGAAAGGTCCGAATGCAAAACGGGGCTGCAAGCATTACAGCTTCGCTTCACAATTCTCAGCTGAAGGCGCGCTTGGCATTTCAGACCCTTGTCGGAGTCATGGTCGTAAACGGAAGCTTTGGCCAAGTCGTGATGAGGCAGTGGATCCCCAAGAGCTCTAGGGACCACACCTAGCTGGATGTGATTTGTTTGGGTTTGGTGAACACCCACACAATTGTTGGTGGGGAATAAATCCCCATGCATCTAAATGATGTCCACCACGGGGTCCCCAATTCACCATCTTAATCCGTAACTGGGTGCGATGGTTTTTCGCTGCAGGTTGATTACTCCTCCTCCGATGGTTTAGGCGATGGCCCCAGATGGCTTCTTCTTGTTGCGGGTACTTTGCACGATGGTGTTACCCTCCTGTGCACCGACATGGAGAACCCACCAGAGGTTCTTTTTAAAAGGAATACAGTCTTCCAGAACCCCTCAGTCAATGTTAATGGATTATGTTCTGCCCCTTTTCTAACAATCGTGGGACTCTGTACTACAAGGTCCGTTCTTGGAAGCTTGCAACATGATGCTCAACGGTTACTGGTAAGACTTGTGAGATGGTGGACGAGGTCCTTTCGGCTTGAAATAGAGAGAGAGAGAGAGAGAGCGAGCGAGAGAGAGAGAGCTTAGACATTAAGCCATGGTGAAAAGACTTGCTCGCTCGGGGCCACTGGGGCTAGTCATGGATTCTATTGCATTTTGGGGGTCCACAGCCAGGATATGGATTTCTTTGAAAGGAGCAACTCAGAACACACAGAAGTGTTCACCGTGGCACGTGTGCAATTGTTTGAGTTTTGGCCTTTGTGACCCGCCAGTTCATGGATCAAATCTCCAATCCTTCCTGCTCTGAACCAAACCTTATGAATTCTGGTGGACAGGTCCGAACCTGCCGACGGACGGAAAAGCAATGAACTGTGACACAACGGGTGAGGAACTGGCCTGGCCCGTCCTCAAATTGGGGAGTCCTAAACTTGTTGTTTCATTCATTGGGAGAGCTGTTGAAAAGGAACACTAAAAAAGGAAGCCGTCTTAGTCGGGCATCCCTGAAATTAGGGAAGCACCCACAGGAGAAACATATCAGCTTGGCGCTTCGAAATCCACCCGATTTCTTCACACGTTGTCTAAGTGGCACATTGAAGTTCGGGCCCAAGCTAGGTGAATTGCGAGCCGGCAGGTGATCCGATGCGGGCCCAAACCCAGATGTGCGACGGCAAATTGGGCCAAAAAGAAGAAGAACCATGTCACTTTGGACCCAGTTTCCCTGCCTAGCTCAGGTAGCAAGAAGTTGGTTTCTACTTGTCCAGGTTACATAGTTATAGCTGGTAGCAAGAAGTTGGTTTCTACTTGTCCAGGTTACATAGTTATAGCTCAGGTAGCAAGAAGTTGTTTTCCTACTTGTTCAAGCATTTACATGCCACGACGCACTTCAAGCAGCGGCTGTCACTGCCGAGGCCCCTTTCACAATTTGCCGGAGCTTTGCTGAGGCTTGGGTTACCTGGTTCACAAAAACGTCTTGGCCGAGCTGCTCGAGGCCAGATTAATGTTGAGTGGTCTCCGTGCGAGTGCAATAGCTGACAGGCAGTTGTTCTTCCGGACCCAGGTACCCTCCCACCATGTTTCTACTTGGAATCTGAGAGGGAGTCCCTTGAAAAGGAAAATTAACTTCCAGAACCTTCCATGTTAGTTGGTGGGAGGGCAGTGAGTTTCCTTTCTGTTTACCACAGGACTGACTTTCATGGACTGACTTTCATGGTGAAAAGACGCCCTTGTCAAGGAGTCCATGCTTTGCAGGGGTTCATTGATGTGTGTCAAAGACTTTCCAGACAGGTGCCGCACTCTCTTGCCTGGCCACACCTGACTGTATGGCTTGGTCGCCAGAGGATCCTGTCAGTTGAAGAACAAGTGACAAGATCACGCACCAAATCAAGCACCGCAACTGTCGTGCTGAATCCACGAGTTTCTCATGTGGTACATGCGAAACAACAAAAACTCGCAGCAGATAGTTCTGGCCCTGGCTTAATTAATATGCCTGTCCCGAGCTGTTTTCTTTGCAGCTCGATCCTTGAGGCCATGAATCGAGCTCCCGGACCTCCCAGTTGGCAAAACCGAAGAGGGTCATGTTCTGTGGAAGTCGAAACAAACTTCGCAGCAATTTGTAGCGGATTCCTGGGGCGGCAAATCCAGCAGGTGCCGATCGAAAGGCGTGGGATTTTTAGTCCAAGGTGTGTGCTGTGTGCGTGACCCAGTGTATTCGGCATGGGGCATCTTGGGCCATGGCGTCACAGCGAAGCGCCAGGACGCCAGCAGGTGCAATGGCGGCGTGGGGCCGAGTGGAGCCGGTGAGGGACAACGGCTTGGTGCTGTTGCCCGCCTCTCCCGATTCCGGGGGGAATAAAGAAAAACCAAAAGGACACATCGGCTGGGTTTCTGGGACGAGATGATGAGCAGAGATTGTCCATTTTACACCGAAGCGGATCGCAAACGGACGCAACCGCTTGAGTCTCAAGGTGTTCGTGCCAGAAAGGACGCACGCCACCTGCTTCAGGGTCCGCAAATTTGAGAACAATGTTGGGCATGGCGAAAAGCCACCTGTGGCTGGCTGTTGTTTTTTCACATCAAGCCAGTTAACATGCAATACTGTTCCAAGGCTTGGATGTGGACTGCGCAGTGCACTTGAGCCCAGCAGCTCTTGCGCACAGGCATGCACAGGCCTGAAACGGGGAAATGCAAAAGTAACAAACATCTCGAGAAGACCAACTTTGCGGGCTCGGTAAAAGGGGCGGAAATGGCTTGACTCGCTGGATAGGAGCACAAAAGGGAGCTAGGGTGAGAGAAAAGAGTCTGGGTTTGTCTTTGGTACCCTTTGTTTAGTGGTTTTTAAAAGGGAAACCAACAGGAAAACCACCTTTTTGGGGGGTCCACACCCATATGGTCATTTCGGCCGTGCATGGGACAAATGGCTGCTCATCAAGACGGACAGGCAGATAGACGCACGGTCAGAGACGGACAGACTCGGACACCGACAGACAAAGACAGAGAGACAGGCAGAGACAGACGGGCAGACAAAGGGGGGGAGAGAGAGAGAGAGAGAGAGAGAGAGAGAGAGAGAGAGAGAGAGAGAGAGAGAGAGAGAGACAGAGACACACACGCACAGGGAGAGAGAGTGAACCCGGCTCAAGACTGCGACAGTGAGGGTTGCCCAGTGGTGTGTACGCAAGCACTAGCGAGAGTCTCGAAGCAGATCCCATGTTTTCGGACCGTCCGCCGATTTGGCCATCCTCCGATTTGGGCAAGCGGTTATTCAGAGGACTTGTATTGTCGTAGTGAAACAGGGGCCGAATGCCTAACCCTACAGACATTTGGGTGTGTCTTTTTGTAGACCGAAGCCAACAAAGGGGTACCAACTCCAAACAGAGACAGACCAACTTGCGGCCTTGCAACCGCTCAGCCGCAGATCCGCGAAATCATTTGTGCCTTCTCTTGAGGAATCCTTTGAAACCGGTTTTCCACGCGAGAAACCAAGAAACGATATTTGTGAAGGGCGCCCAAAAGGACGCGTTTCACCGAACGCCAAAAGAAAGCTGCCCATCGAACCTCAACGAGAGCTAAGGCGCAGATGGAGGCCTTCAGCCTGGGCCTCATTCGGGGCTCATTCGGCCCTTGGGATGCTGTGGCTGGTGGCATTTGATTAACTGGGCTCGCTTTTCGAGTTGTTTCTACTTTCGGGCATTTTCCACATACCCAGACACAGCCAACCAACCAACTCTTGGACCATTCCGTGCAGACAGGTTATCGACTTCGCTCAGGCAAGCCCCAGCATTCGAGAAAGAAGTTGAATACATACGCCGCAGTGATTTGGGTTAGGTGTTGGCCCAACCCCTCAGAGACACGTCCTCACTTGCAACGTGACGTGCCACGTTGCGACATCAGTCGAACAACACTTTTGTTGGGGGCGTTACTTCTGTACAGCGGGCTCTTTTTGATTAATCAGCCCTCCCTCCGGCCAAAAAGAAATAGACACGAAAACCACCGACTCCTTCTTCTCCTGGTGGTTCCCAGCCATTCCCTTCGGTTTTTAGTTGTTTTCAGTTGGTTTAGTGGTTGGATTTCCCCAGTTTCACCCGCTAAAAGATGAAAAGTTCGTCACTTTTAGCGCGGAAACAGAAAAAGGGGAGTTCAGTTTTCCTTGTTCCAGCGGTATAGAGCCCCAGTTTTCGGCTTCCCCATCGAGAGCCCAGCGCGAGCGCGCGCGGTGAGGCTCGTGCGCAGCCTCCGGATGAAGTTCCTGCCCTGGATCGCTGATGTTCTTCGGACCGGACCTCGGCCTTTGACTTGTCCTCCGGCCGTAGACCTTCGCCGTCTCCAATTTGTTGAGATACTCTCGAACATGCCGTGGCCCCTTACATTACACGTCTAGGTCCAGCAGTGCCCTTTCTCACCCTTGTTTTGGGGAGCAAAAATTAACAAAGGTGCCTTTATAAAAAAGTGCCTGTATTCTTTCCTCTCTACTGGAGGACCTAGTGTCAGTCCTGTCAGGTTGCAGACAAGGTTGCAGATTTGCCTTCCTGGTCGCTTTGAATATGATAGTTCCCTCCATGTTGGGTGATGTTTCAGGGGGACATATATATATATATACATGTATAAAAAGAGATATACTATGCAATAGGGCGTTCTGAACCAGAAGGATACGGAGTTCCAACAACATAATTCATGTCGACCCTTCAAATCAAGCTGGTGGATTCAAGAGGCTTGTTGATCCTGAGTTCCCATTCGCGAAAGACTTGCCAGGAATTTGACTTGTGAAAAGGAACTTTGGATTGTTGAGGATTGCGATGGCACCTGCCTTTGATCAAGCCGGCCTTGGCCGTTGATCACTTCATGAACTGGGGCAGGATATCTACAGTGCTTGGTAGGTCCACCACAGAGCAGGTGTGAAATGCTGCATGAAATCAGCGGACTTTGGCCACGGAATCTGGATTCTGGAATCAGGGCTTTGATGCAACCAGCGCCCTACCAAATGGGATCTCAGACAAAAACATTTGACCCACAAACAGATACATAATATTTTTATATATACATGCGTTCATATGCTTATACATGTCTGGGCGATGGCAGGTTGTGTTTTGGGATAGATTGCGTTGATATATTGCGTTATGTTTACTCCGCAAATGAACATTGGGTGTCCCGCAAGAACTCATCAAATACTCACCGATCACGATTTGAGGTGTCTTGGAGTGTTCGCTTTTGGCGTGGTGGACAAAAACAGGTGCTCTGAAAAGACCACAGCTTGGAGCGCATCGAACTCACGCCTATCAATACGGAGCTGATGGCCAGGACTCCTCCTCCCTGAGGCCCTGTTTGAGTGTTTGAGCTTACTCTCCGGGCGCGGGGCGGGGGCGAGAGGGGGCGGGCACTAGGTCACCGTTGCCGAGCGACACCAAGACATGGATCCTCCGGTGCTGCAGCTTGGCTGAGCCGGAGGGAGTTAGGTCAGGCGGAAATAACAGGATGGGCATCACATTGTCTTTCTTTTGAGGGCACCCTTTTTCTGCGGAGGGGTATTTATTTTAGTTGTTTTTTAGTTTTTAGTTTTGTTTTTCATTTTTGTTTCACGTTTTTTTCCTTTTTTTTGTTTATTTTGGCTTCTTGGCTTTTTGGCTTCTTGGCTTTTCGGCTTCTTGGCTTCTTGGCTTTTCTCGACTTTTGGTGGCTTTTTGGCTTTGGCTTTTCGCATCCTCTGCCTTCCCAGTTCCTCTTCGGCAGTGCTTTCCCAGTTCCTCTCCGGGCGTTTTGGCTTTTGCACCCTTTCATTGGTTTTTTGGCTTCCCACATCATCAGCATCACCAGTTTTCTCCCTATTTGAATCATCACTTCTTCGAACATCATGGAGGGGCTCCCCCCCACCCACCTGCTACTTTTTAGATTGTTTGCAGAGTAATTGCACCCCTATTTGAATCAACATTTCTTCAAACATCATGGGGGGGCGGCAGGGCAGCACCCCCCCCAACCCCCTCGCTACTTGTTGTTTTTTTTTTTACAGGGATTGAAATGCCCTCCAATTTTACAGGGATTGAAATGCCGTCAACCCACCAGGTACTTTCTTGATTCTGTTACCCACGATTTGTTGGTGATGCTAGGGATGTTGGTCGGACATGGATGCTGGGGATGTTGGCGGGCTAGTGTAAAATGCGTCAATGTTGCGAGAAAATGCTGTAAAATACGGCATTGTACTGGCCCGGACGAAAAACGTGGAAAAAAAACAAAACACAAAATACATCCGCACCCTTTTTCTGCTGGTTTCAAACGAAAACCAAAAGGAAGCCAACCATGTTTGGTGGTCCAGCCTTGCAATTGACACACCCAAATGGAAGGACATGTTTACAACTGTAGGAGGACACCAAAATGATAGTATTTCGGATGTCAGAACATCAATGGTTCAACGTTGAACGGCTGCTTGACCAAACTCATGTGCTCACCTGAAGGCAATCGATGCGTGCCATGGTCCAACATGGAATATAGTCTTTGGGAGCCAGACGCTATGGGGGTAGAACGAGCTCACCAATGAAAAAGGGTCCTTCACTTGGGAATCCCTCAATTCAGCTTTTGGAATTAGAGTAAATTTGCTTTGAGGGTCTGAGACTATAGTCAGGATCTCCATACCATGCAGAGGGCTTGTCATAGAACATGCGAACCCACCCGAAGGCCGATAGGTCATCAGATAATCGAGCCGTCCAAGATGGACCCCTTACAGTGTCGACCAAGGCTTCATGTGTTGGGCATTTGTTCCCATCTAGATGATGTGTGCCAATGGATCCCTAGCTACACATGAATACCCACGTCGATCACTGTCAACATCATTGATTATCTACTGTTTCGCGGAGGATATGGAGCGGACAAGAGACCAAGCTTGAGACATGGCTTGCCGCATCTTACAATTGTGGAGGGGTAAGTCTGTTCCCATGGTCGTGAGATCGAACTAGAACCCTGGATGGAATTTTAGTCTGGCAGAAAGTACCAGGTATTTGTTGCGGAGACATGGTTAGTCGCTGAATCGTTGAGACCTTCTCATCAACCAATTGTACAAGGAGAAGATGCACGCAGAGGGACCCAAACTCTTGAAGACTTGTGTGCTGTCGAGTAGTTGATGTATGTATACATAGATATATATATATATATATGTATATATGTATGCATACATGTTTCAGATTCAGGTGCGGCAGCTAAAGGAGGGAGCTTTTGCTATGCGCTATTCGGATGTTGCTGAGAGGTACAGTCAACCTTGCACAGGATTGCTCTAAGCCTCAGATACCTAACCCAGGATAGAACAGTGTTTTGCTTTTGGTTTCCCTTCAGGGATCAAAGCATAGGTGCCCTTCTTTAGCTTAGCTTGTTGGAAAATCGATGGCGCTGGTTCCCTTTGGTTCTAATTTCATTTCCCAGTGCCATTGCTCTAGCCTTGCGCTGATTTTTCGGTCTTTGGAGCACAGCTGGAGTTGAAAGTGAGGCCTTGATTCGAGACCAGGGGTTGAAAGAGGGCGTTTTGGGAAATGCCGAAACCAATGGACGTGTCTTTTTTTAGTCTCGACCCACTAAAATGGTCGGTTTCTCTTTGGTTGTCTTTTGCCGCAAAAGAAGGGTAGCCTCAAGAAACAGCACATTCCCAATGTCCGAAGTCCTGTCCTCTTAAGGGTCTTACACTGGTTCCAGGACTTGTCCTAAGGTCCCAGCGTTAGTAGAAGTGGGACTCCGTTGGTTTGAACCTGGGCTCGTCAAATGCCTAGGTCCCCGGTAGTGCCCCTTTACCCTTTTTTGGTTGGGAGGGGTCTACTGGAGGACCTAGTTGCCATCCAGCCTGTAGGGGAGGTACCAATTGGAGCGAGTTGTCAGCTGGATGGTGCACATGCGTGGTGGGCCTGACGCGATGCTTCCCGAGGTGAACGCATGGGCCTCGTAGCCGTGGCCTCGCCTTGTTGCCCTCGGTCGATGGCTGACAGCGATGGAATGTGTGGAAGCTTTCGGCAAGTTCTCGGCAAATTCGCATGAGCCATCTGTGGGAAAGCTTGCTTCCACAGATACCCCTTGTGGTTTTTGCGTGTTTGCCTGGTGGCGACTTTGTTTGAGCCGGCTGGTCTAGCCCTAGCCGATTTCAGCTGAGGCGGTTGCTCCGTACCAGGACCTGTGCCGGAGGGCGCAAATTTTCGGGTCAAGCCTTACATGTTGACCGAAGCTAGCTGACTCACAGCACCTGGTAAAGGAATGATCAAGACCTGCCATTGTTTGGGTCCTTTTGTCTGAGAAGCTCAAAAAGCTGGCACGAGAGCCTCTTGCCAGGCGATGTCGGAGGTCCTGTGAAGGGTCTTGCGAAGTGTATTGTAGGTTGAATATGTTGCTGGATATGCCATCAATGAACAGCACACTGGACAAGGGCCGAGCGATTGTCCCATTGAACCGTGTTGACGCGGTGCTGAGCAGTGCAAAAGAGGCCAGAAAGGCTTGTGATTGGCCAAATGCGTCTCACGCCCATGAAGCGAGAAATTGCAGAGAAGCTTCCGAACATTGGCCTTGCGTCGCAAGAGGGCTGGTCTTCGTTTTCGGTAAGACATGTTTTTTGGGTCAGGCCTCAAAGCATTACCAGCATGGCCCAAACGCAACGGCGCTTGGTTTCTTGGAAGGTTCCACAGGTTGATTGCCTGTTTTGAGGGCAAGCAGCGTTGTACCCTTTTCAACTTGCTTTAAAGGGAAACCAAAGGGAAAACCGCCTGTTGACCTTGCTTAAAAGGGAAACCAAAGGAAAAAACACCGTGCTTGGGTTTCCTCCTATTATGACACACCCCAATATGTCCCCCAAACTTTTGTTTGGGTAGTTCCTCGGCCGTAGCCTTGACATGTTTGGGCTTGGTCGTACAAGATGCCATGTTCGAACCGGTGCAATGTGAGGGTCGTTACCCCTTGGTGACCCCTTCAAAGGGGAGAAAGACTAGCGAGGGGACCCAATTGGGGCCCTTTCTTTTGGACCAACCCTCATTTGGATGTGTCAAAAGGGGGCCCCTGCAATCAGTTTCATGTTAGCTTCCCTTGAAAGCCCTTCCTTTGAGGTCATCTTGATCTTAACTTTTGGTACCTGAACAATCTTAGCTTTACAGTTGTGTCCAAGAACCGCTTCCCTGGATCTCCTCCTAAAGGACAAGAGCTTGCTGCTCAGTATGTGAGAATCAAGCTCAAGAAAACCACCAGTTGGGGCTGGGGGCTGGTTTTTCTTGGGGTCATTCCACTTTGGTGCATTTTGCTTGGATGTTAGGACTTTAACTTTTTGCCAACTAATGGGTTTCCGTATTAAGCCACTAAAAGTTAAACTTTTAGCAGGGGAGCAGAAAGCAACCGAGTCCATGTCTCAGGGACCCAATGCATCTCCGATCGCAAGTTACTTGCCGCTTCATTCTCCCAGGAGCGCAGTCAGGTGAACCTGGCCATCATGGCCTTTAGCCTTTGCAGATGCTGCCCCGTGCTCAGCTGGCCAGCCCAGGTCGATCTAAGTCTCTTAAACTTGATTGGGATGCGTGTTTAGACTTGAGCGTTTTGCGAAATCCGGGGTTTTCGATTAAACCCACAAAAAGTGAAAATTGTTTTGCAGAGGAGTCGACAGCAACCAAATAAAGTGGTTGCATGTTGAGGGAGTTTCAAAATTACTTTTGGAGTCGGGTTACCTTGAAACAACCATGTAGATGGCAATTTCGAGGACGCTTTGGATCCAGTTTATCACAAAGCCCGCTGCAGGTCTTTGTGCCAAATCCCAACTCACACGTGCGGCTGCAGGGTGGCCTGTGCCACCTAGCCGATCGCATTGTTGTTATTGTTGGTATTTGTTGTTGTGTTTGTTTCGCATTGTTATTAGTATTTGTTTATTAGTTGTTTTTTGTTGTTTTTTGTTAGTATTATGTTTGTTATTGTTATTATCATTATCATTATTGTTCTTATTATTATTCTTATTATTCTTATTATCATTATTATCATTATTATTATTATTCGTAGTATCGTTATTATTATTATCATTCTCATTAGTATTAGTATCAGTGTTATCATTATTATGTATTTGTTTATGTGTGTATTTATTTATTTATTTATTATTGATTTATTATTATTGTGTATTAATGTTTCTTATTATATGTTCTTTATTATTAGTTGGTTTTAGTATGTATTTATTAGTATGTATTTATTAGTATGTATTTATTAGTATGTATTTATTAGTATGTATTTATTAGTATGTATTTATTAGTATGTATTTATTAGTATGTATTTAGTTTTATGTATTTATTTATTTGTTTTATTAGTATTATTTTTATTGTTGTTATTATCATTTTCATTATTGTTCTTATTATGATTCTTGTTATTATCAGGTTCACTATTATTATTATTATTAGTAGTATCGTTATCATTATTAGTGTTATTCTTGTTATATCATTATTACTAATACTTGTTGTATTATTGTTATGATTATTAGTACTATTATTATTATGACTATTATTATTGTTTATTAAACATTGTCATCACTATCAATATTATGAACACTATCATTTTGTTCATATGTGTTGTTATTTTTACGGACCCCTACTGGGGCAAGTTCTGTGACTTGTCCACCTGTCTGCTTTCATGGGGAATTACATAAGACGGAGCCTGGACGCCGTTACTAAGTTACTAAAGACGTGGAGTTGGCGGAACCCTAGAATTCCCTGAGTATGTACCTAGTAATGCCCTGGTATTCCCCTAGTATTGCCTAGTATTCCTTTAGTATCCTCTTGGTATACCCTAGTGTTTCTTCACTACCCCCCTTTCCCAAATATTTCACTAGTAAAGGAAGGTGAATATTAGGGGAATACCTTTAGTATTATCTAAGTAACGCCAGGCCCGGCTGGTTCGGATGCTGCCCTGTTCCTGCGGAGCGTGTTGATGAACGTGGCAGCCTAAGAACTTGGAAGAGTGTGCGGAGGTTTTCTTCCCCAGAATTCGCTCCCCATTTGTGTTTTTTTTCTTTTTTGGTTTTTTGGGGTTTGTTGGTTTGTTTTCCACGAACCAGGCAAAAAAGAATAGAACAAAATGCTGGGGTCCTAATTCCAGCCTAGTTTTGAGGACTTCCCTGTGGTGTTACACTTGCTGGTTCTCAGCAGAATAGGGAATGAACCAGGGATTCCCGAATGAAAGAAACTATAGGGGATGGTTTATAGGGGGCATTCCCTCATTCTCTGCTGAGCACCAGCAAGTTTTGGAGTGGTGTTAGAGGGATGGTGCTTGTGGAGGTAACACAAAGGGATCCTTACAAAGTTGGGTTCTATCTTTCAAGCTGCTCAGGTGACAACATGATGTGGTTGGTTCCATAAAAACTCTGTTGAGAAATGCGTCAAAACCAAATTTATATGGCTTCTCAAAGCTAGTAATGGGTGAAGACACCGAGGAATCAACTCTTGCAATGGTCAAAATCCCATGTCCATGTTGAGTTTACTTGTTAGCTATATAGGATGAAAGCAATGCAGCGACTTTTCTGTGGTGTTGGGATCGGCATGAAAGAGATCATTGAGAGTCTAGTGACATGCCACACCAGCAAATCGTCAACGAAAGCGCAGGTATAACATGGGCCTTCAGCATAGTGACAGCCGTTCTGAGAAGCTGATGTTTGTCCTGAGGATGTGACTGCAACCATTGCTTTGCATAGTCGTTCCGCTTCAGATCTTTCTTCTGCTGTGAGCATCAAAGCGATGCATGCCATGTGGGCGTGTCTTAGAACCGGAGACTCCCCGAAAAACTGGTTGCTGTGCTTTTTTCATCCTTGAAATCCACTCCTTTCACGAGGTATCCTCAAAGGTAGACAGAGCCATATGCGAGTCGAGTCTGGCGGCTGGGGATGACCTATCAGTCTGAAGGCTTCAACCAAAACCTTACTGCATGCAGATAGGGAAACCTAAAAAGATTGGCTGGTGACCTTTTGGTGTCCCTGTTAAACCAACCAAGATGGGAAAGATTAACGAGACACACCATGTATACGAGACATAACCATATTTATATATATATATACATGTATGCATCCATATTCTTGGTTCTATATCATCTGGTGTATATATACATATATATATATACATATATATAATACGCGCACATGCAACAATAACGTGAACATGCAACTGCAACGTTCCACTCCGCCAGTACCTCCGCCAGGCCTGGCATGTGCCGGAGGAGGTGAAGCGCTTTGCGGAGCGGAAGAGTGATGCCTGGCGCACCCAGACCCGTAGCATCCCAGAACCTGAGGTCGGACACGGGGCCCATGGGAGGCTTGTGGGATCAAGGGGTCTATCCCCACGAGGCTTACGGACACCCTCAAAACCAGGGTTGTGGGATCAAGGGGTTTATTCCCATTGACACAAGGAAATCTCCCCCCTGTTATGGGGGGGGAGTCTTTGGGAAGCCGTTTTTGTTGTGTCACAGAAGTCATCATTTCCCACAGCCATATCAACACTGTTGGTTCTGTGTTTGGACACGCAGAATCAAAGATTTTGTCTTTGCGAGGCCTTCGCTTCCTGAAAAGGACAAAAAGGGCGCAAGGGTGAGCACTGTTAGCTTTGGCCACGCCTTGCAACCTTGGTGCTTTCATTCTCATTCGGACCGTTCCGTGTCCATCTCCGGCCATCAGCCACGGAGTTGTTCGTAACTCCCCAGCGAGATCAATGAGATGCCCGACGAGCTGAGAGAGGGACATTCACCAACAAGGTTTCCATGCAGAGTGTTTGCTTTAAACAGAACTTCTAGGGTCAACCATGTTCTATGACTAGAATGTTCAACCAAATCCTACATGTTTCAGCGTCCCAATTGCGCAAGCTTTACATGTTCAACCAAGTTCTATGACTCTCTCGGCAAGCTCCGTGGTTTCTTTGTCCCAGGTGTGTTTGACCTGTGTTTTGCGGCTCGCCGTGCGAGCCAAGAGTCATGGCAATCTGGTGGCCCCAACGGGCCAGAAGCAAACCAGGCAGCTCACATAAGCATCGGATAGTTCAGCTGCCACCCAAACTGCAAGCAGCTGGATGAAGGGCATCGCTGAACCTCTTCCAAATGCCACTCGAAGGTCTATGGGATCTACATTGTCAAGCCTGGCACCTTGCAGAGGACAATGTGAGCGATAAAGGGGATGGACATGGGTGCACCAAAGTACTCTTAGGAAATGATGGCTACTCACCGGGACGAAACATATTCGCAGGGGGCCGAATTCGCGGTTTTGTGCTTGTGCACAAGCTTCATGCCCCTGGCTTCGTGAAGGATGTCTCGAATTTGCCATTTGTGAAGTGCTCTTGCAACATAAGCACTGAGCTCAAATGTCGATGAACACGCTTGCGCCAAGTTTCCAGCATCAGTGAAGATACAGCTTTGCTTGTCCCTGGTAATTGGTATTTCTCTATTGCAGATGAACACCGGACGGACTCTTTGCGGGTGGACCCCTTAATGAAAGGCCTCACGCTGCACTAATGCTCTTCCGGTTCTGAAATTAATGTGGCACCACAGACACTTCTTGGAGGAACCGGTTGAGGCCACCTTCTGAAGGTTTCAGTTTATTCCACAAGAAAAAAGCTTTCACAAGTCTTTGCCCAGAGAATGTTAGCTTACACAAGCCTTTGCAGGGTCAACACACGTCCCCTCAAGCATGTCAGCGCCAAATCATTTTAACTCGCCATTTCAGCCCACCATGCTTCAGCTCCCACTGCCAATGAGTTGCATGCGAAGAGTGATCAACAACTCTGCTCAATGTGGGTTGTGCGCTGGACAAAATCCTGCTTTGAGCACCTTGCAACAATCATAGTTGCAGGATGACGGCACTCCGAAGATGAGTTCTGAAGCTCCCTTCATTTTGCGGTCAAAGGCGGTTGTACCAATTTGGGATCATCAACTTCATCAGGCGGGTTCCTTGGACCGGGACCGATCCCCTTTGAGCTTCTTTCTGAATGGTTGCCACGGGAAATCAAGGTTCAGAGCCCACGACGAAAAGAGGGGTCTCAACTGTGCCGGGGTGGTCCTTTGGTTTCCCTCCAGTCCCCAAGATGCTACCAACTGGTAGGATCTTTTTACCCCCTAATTTGGACACCCTCTTCTTGTGATGGTTGTCCTTGGGAAACATTTTCCACATTTTTTCTGATTGAGGTTTAGTGGTTGAAATATCCAACCACTGAACTGCTAAAAATCAAAACATGTTGCTCCCCAAACCCAACGACCAAGTTGTGGCCCGTGGGGAGCTGAAGCCGGCAGCTTTTTAGGAGGGTCAAAAGGCTGTGGCTGAAGAAGAATAAGCTAGGGATACGCGGGTAGTCTTGGGTTCCATTTACCCAGGTGCAATTTTGGTACATGTTTTTGAGCCACAGCCAAAGCTCCGGTTTCCGGAGGATGCAAGAGCTGGGCCTGCGTGTGGTGGTCCGGGACTTCGAGCGGGAGGTCTGGCAGCGGAGCATGGACAACAGCGGCTCAGCTGGTCTCGGGAGTCGGGAAAAATCGCGCTGAATGGGAAGTCCTCGAAGTGGGCGATGGCAAGATCTTGCGTTCGCTGCGAGAGATGCGTTGGGTCCCTGAGAAATGCAATGAAGAAAAGCCAGCCCCAACTGGTGGTCCTTCAAGGGCATTCCCTACTGAACAGCAAGATATGGAGCCCACTGAAATGATGTCCATCGAAGAGTCTGAACGTAAATCTCATACTAATATTGAGCAGTTGGACACACTCCAGAGGCCTTTGATACTCAATTGAATGCAGACTCGCGTTGCGAGTTACTTCGAATGCCAACTTGATGTGGGCTCCAGCAACTCTCCCCCGAAGGGAACTTTGCGTGGTTCGCGGGTCCCTCGAGTTGCGGCACCGGCGAAAGGTCGGGCTCTGAGGATAGCAACAAAACATTCATACGCTAAAGGGGGGGTGCTTCAGCCCTTTCTTCAACTTTTGGTGGGAGTGAAGCTGTAACCGGGGTTTCATGTTATCCAGCAGTCGCCAATACTGACTGATGTAATTTCAGCTGAGGTGCACCGGCCCCTGAGAGCGTGGCATGATTCGAACTCGGAATATGCGCAACAAGTCTAAAGATATGTCACACTCTTCACGCATGTCTTAGCAAAGCGCATTCAGGAATTTCAAATTCATACAAACAAACAACTGTTCTTAGCACTTCAGTGTTTATACTCAGATGTAAGACCCATGATTGAATTGGAGCCAGCAATAGTATTGCTGACTGCAGCCAGTATGCAGGTGTTGACATCGAAGCTACAACCCCAACTATCGGCGACTCAATTGTCAGGTTGTGCTTGCGCAACACTTCAACATACAGGGCATGTTGATGCTTCGTCCGTCCGCTTGGCGCAGGGATTTTCATCATCTTGAAGTCTTGTGAGAGATCGCGTTGGGCACAGGTTCCATGTACTTGGACATCATCTCGCAGTTTTCCAGCTACTGCTGCTTCACGTACGTTTGGCCCTCAGGCTAAGACAAAACGGCTCAAATTCACGTTGCGGACGCTCCAAGTCAGGGGCCTGTGGCCGAAGGGAGTGATACATGTGAGAAGGCCATGAGCGTCCTTTTATTAAGGTCAAAGGCCTCTCCAAGCTTGATGACATCCTTCTGAAGTGGTTGGCGGAGTATACCCGCCATCACCTCAGGCTGCAGCTGTGCATTTGCAAGGGGTTTCTTTTGGGCCAATTTCCAGTGGGTGTCCTTTTGCAGATGAAACCGGACAAGCTCCCAGGATGGCCTTACCAGAGCATTCAGCGTGCTGTTCAGAGGGAGGTGAATATCTACAGTCATTCACGCAATGGGAACGGCATTGGGTACACTCGCCACTTCCATTTGCTGAAATGAATATCGTTTATTTTCCCTGTTGGCTTTACATGCAGTCTGTCACTACTAGAAATATGCTTGTTTTTTCCAGGGGGCTTAAGCAAATGCTCTTACCAAGTTACCTTAGATGGGCGTGTCTCAAAGCCACATGACGTCAAAGGACTGAAGTGTGGCAGTTGCTCATGTGGCTGTGGTTGTCAAAACTGTTTTGGGATCCCATTTTGGTTGGGCTTTCGGTGAATTCACCACCCATGTCCGGCTTCCTATTTTTTCGTGGTTGGATTCAATCGGATGTTCACTGGGGGCTAACCGATGCTTTCGAGCCATGGCCATGTCTCGTGATCTGAAACCCTGGGATCTGAGGCTTGCATCCCTGGCGCTTCGTCTATATCGAAGGACGTCGTGGGGCTTGGCTTGGGGCTGGTGGCATGTGGCACCTGGCAATTTGTTGGGCACTTTTGTGGCAATTCCTTCAAAACTTCAAAACAGATGCCCAAAAACATCCTTTTGCCCCCCCCCCCCCGGGCGCGGATTGTGGAAGAGGATTGCCAGCCAGAAGGATTCAGCGGATTACAGATTGTGAATAGGCCTCCGGGCAGGCTAGTGTTTGAATCGACACTCTGCGAGACACCCTTTTGTCCGAGTACACAGATGCCAAAATAGGGGATGCAGGATAAGGCAAGTTTGCCCGATAGAATCCGGTGTGGGGTGAGAATGCAAGAACCTGGTCATCCGTACCAGGCAACGTCGGATCCGTTTGGACTGCGAATCTATCGAGCAAGCGTTCTGAATTGGGTGTGTGTTTTTGTCAAGGGTATGTTTTTTTTTTTTTTTTTTTCTCGTGGCTTAAAAAGCTCTATCTTCGACGGATGCAAAAACAAACACCCTTTCACGACGTTGCTTCCAGGAATAGAGCACTTCAAAGGCTTGTTGGATGCACACAACCTAGTGGTGAGAACCTAAGACTGGCACGACAGCATAAGCAAATTGCCGATCCATCCAATCCCTTCCATTGTTTTGAATTTAGTGCCACCCATTTATCCCTTTTGTTGAGCCTAGCAGCAACGCCTAGGAAACGCGATCTAGTGACATGAATTCAATTCGGTTCCCTGAAGAGTCATCCACAACATGATGTTTCTTGGCAAAAGGAAACATGCAAGACATGCGGTTAGTTGTCCCTCCAACCACAGTGGATGTTGGGAGCTTACTTCAAACCATGAAAACGGTCGTCTTCTAAACGCGGGGCTGCTGAATCGATTCAGTTGGAGTTGCGCCTGGCGAAGTTTCTTCAGGAGTGGACACCACCTTTAACTTTCCAGAGAACCGCGCAGGGCTCAGTGACCACTGCAAGTTGGAACCACCTCAAGCGGTTGGACTGGACATGAATGTTCACCTGAATGATGCCTACCAAAGGGTCTCGAATGAAGATTCAGGCCCAGTTGTTGACAGGAACAATGACTTTGTGCGAGAGAGTTGGTGCATGCGCCGCTAGTGTTTGTGTGGCCGTGTGTATGTTTCTGAATCCAGTTGTCCTGCTTTGTGCTTATTTCCCTTTGATCAGGTACCCACTACTTGGTGGTTTGGAGATTTCCCTGGCTGTTGTAGAGGGTAGCTGGTAAACCACCCCTACACCAAACCACCGATTCGGCTCCGAACCACCCTTCTTGAGGGCTGATTTGAGGAGCTTTTACAGCTGCCTCTCAAGCGAGTGACAGCCTTGCTCAGGCGATCGTTGCAACTTCCGCTTTGCTCCGGCGAATCCTTTGCACAGTGTCGGCCGCCCAGTCGAGTCGAGTGACGCGCAGAGAGGGCGGGGGCGTGGTCGGTTCGGGGAAGATGTCGGTGGTTTTTTGGGGACATGGGGTCTAAAACCTTCCCCCAGCAAAAGCCGAGGGGGGATTTGAAATGTCCAATTTCCATTTTCCCCATGTCCAAAGTCTGCATCATGGAGTTCAACAAAGAAAAAGAGTTTGTTAGAGGAATCTCCTTTGGCACAACCCCCTCTGCCCTTTGGGTTCCTTCCGCTTGGAAGTTTTACGCGTCGGAAGCTCTCGCTTTGAGGTGAAGGCCACGGAAGATCTGCAGAAGTCCAACGTCACTTTGGCGCGCCCGAGCCGTGCACCCAGGAACGAGCAGTGGACCTGGATGTGACCTATGGGGGGTGAGAGGCTGGTGGCGTATGCGGGAAAATACGGGGACCCCCCCAAAAAAAAAGAAGAAGAAGAAGACAAGCAAGAACATGGTGATTTTCTTTTAAACATCCCCACCAGCATGGAATGGGGGAGGGGGGTGACCCCTGGAATTTCATTCGTTCCTTCTTGCCGTTTTGTGGGAAGCCTGGAAAACGGGAATTGGGAGATTTGTTTAGCTGTTTAACCAAGCTACAAAGGGTACCCTCAAGAAAAACTGCGCGGTACGTCGGCTCTGCAGGGCTTCCGGTCGTGTGAGCCGAGGTCACACGGTGTCCTATGACCCGGCGATGCAACCCTCGCCAGAGGACTTGCAGGACCAGGGATGAAGATGACCTGAACAGTTCCGGGACATATCTGGAAGTATTCGTAGAGCTCGCAATGGGGTGTTTCTGGGGAAGGCCGCAAATGCCAGATTTGAGAGTGGCTGGGATGGTTGGTTTGCCGGGCTTGGTTTTCAAGACGTTGCATGAATGGTCGTTGTACAAGTTTGTTCAATGGCGTGTGTTGGAGCTTCCATATTATTCACAGTGTCCAGAGAGTTTGCGGTGAATGGTGCAATCTTGCGTCTTTGGAACTGGGCACTGTGTTGCAGCTTCCATGTCCGGAGAATCTGCAGTGCACGGTGCAATTGCGCGTCTTTGCATGCTTAGCACGCTTCCCTGGGCACGTTGTTCCCAGTATGATGCGAGCAACACCTGGCAGCGCATGTGCTGCTCGGACTTCAACCCGACGCATCCTACCCCGTGAAACCCGAAAGAAGTCATTCCTGTCCGATGCGAAATCGGTCTCGGGGGCTTCCACCACGGTCCGTGTCCGAATGCCCCCGGTTGCCGGGCACAATAAATAGATAAGCATAGACACGATATATGTATATTATCTATAATATACATAAATATATTCCCCCATGTATGCATATATGTATATACAGCAATGCTATTCATACAAGTATGTAAATAAGATCTGTGAGAGCATGTGTCATGTTTGCCTTTCAGAACTAGAGGCTGATGCAATCGATATTGCATTTTGAGAGCTATGAGCAAGATTCTAGGGGCTGGCTCGCCTTTTTGTGGAGTTGGCACCTTTTTGTTGTTCCAGGGGTTGATTCGAAGGCCTAAAAAAGACACAAACCAAGAGGAAACCCAGTATTTTTGGGGGGGTCTCCACACAAAATACCCCACACACCTTAGCGGTTGATTCCTTGTCCATTCTTTTCAACCATCGTTCTTTTCAAAAACCGGATCTGTTTCCAACCTGGGTGTTTGATGGTTTCCTGAAAAGAAGGATCCCTAAAAAGAATAGGGAAGGTACTGGTAGAAATATTGATTTGCACCTCAATGAACCAGGGCCCCAAAATCCGACGAGGGGTATCTGTTGACTGGGTGTCACTTTGTCTCGTGGGGTGCCACACCTTGCGAGTCTCATGGGTCCGGACTAGTAGAAGGATGACTAGGTCCCCCAGTAGTGCCCCTTTACCCTTTTTAAGGGGAGGGTTCCCCTACTAAAAAAGACAAAAAGGAAAAAAAGTTGGTACCCTTGTTCTAAGGCCTCAAATCTGGAGGACCTAGATGACCTAGCCCGCACCTCCTCCTTGGGGCAAATGGCGCTCGGCATGTCTGTGCCCCCTGCCAGGACGGACGCCGCTTGCTGTCCTGTTTTGCGAAGAACCTCGCACCGGACAGCAGGGATCCCGAGTTGCAGACGTCTTGTTGCGCAAAAGTTGTGCGCATGATACCAGAGGAGAAGCTGTGAATGACACTGCAGATTCACATGGAGCTCAAAGCACATCCCTTGTAGAAGCATCTCCTTTGGAGACGCAATCCCCTGTTCGGGTTCCATGCTGACTTGCGGGTGAGTCCTCAAGTTGTTTGCCCGCTGTTTTTCGATCCATCCATTTGCGGATGCGAGGCAGCACTGGCAGCCACGCTGATGATGCCATGCACCAGGAGACGATGTTTTCTCAGCCGCAAAGGGCCCCAGTCTTGGCCAAAAGGGCAAAAGGCGAGTGTCAAGGATGGAAGGGGAAGGTGTTCAAGGAATTCACTTGAGTCCGTGTATCACGCTGTCAAAGGAAATCCTTCAGTGCTTCAGTTTAGGTTCAGGGTCCATGTGATGCAGGGTTGCCGTCTTGCTAAGTACGGTGTACCACTTACAAACTATTGCAACCTCGGTAATCCAATCTCAGCGGGGCTGAAGAGCACAACCGACGAAAGCCGCCAATACACAAAAGGAACAGGCTCTGTTTGCAGCATGGACAGCATGGACAGCTTTTTGGTGCTGGACCTCGAGTTTTGTGTTTTGTTACTGCCCGTTGGCCTTTTCCATCCTTCAAAGGAGGGGGTTGAATGGTTGAAGTGAAAAGGGCCACCATCTCGCAGGATGATGCAAATTGTTGCCGCGTTGATTGCGAATTGCAGGGTACGTCTTTCAGAAATGGGTATGTGTGTGCAGGAAATCCTAGTCGGAGTATTCGCAGGTTTTTTGTTCGACCTGCACGAAGTGTGCTGGTAAAATTGAAAGAGAACCAAGAGACTGTTCCAAGCAGTTGACCACGACCTAAGGGCAACTGTTTTCGTGTGAGACACGTTAGTGGCAGCCCTTGCAGATATTCTCGCTAGGGTGAAAATTGTGTCGTCTACTTTCACCCAACTGTAGATACGCTAAAATGGAAGTTTATCAATATTCCGTTCAGCCCCCAAATGACCATGGACAACTTTTCCCATGTGGTTGACATATCATGTTGATGGTTTTCCAACCAATGGTCCTCCCATGTACAGAGCTGTTCGATCAACCTCCACATGTGTTTCAGAATATGTTGCATCCTTGTGGTTTCCCTGTACAGCCGTCCACGGGGTAGCCTGAAAAAACAAGACACCCAGATAGAACCGACAAAAGTTGGGGAAAACAAGAAATCATGGTTGTTGTTGGGAAACGTAAAAAAGAATAAAAATAAAAAAAAATAAACGTATGTTTGCTTCTTGTGGTTTTGAGTAGTTGAAATCCAACCACTGAGCTGCTAAAATGTGTGAGGTAGTTGTTGCTCCCCTTTCAACGTCAACCAGGAAATCGGCATGAAGAGGCGTTTTTTGTCGAGCGAGGCCGCGGGCCTCCTGCTACTCCGCCGACTTCCGGGGCGAGCTGGAGGTGCGAAGGGGAAGGCCTCAGGCCGGAGGTTGTATGCACCGTGTATATTGTATGTGTTTATAGATATAAGTATATGGTGGATATATATATATATATATTTATTTATATATATGTATTTATGTGTACCTGTGGCTAAATTGCGTGTTCTTGATATGTCCCGGTTTCCTTTCTGTGTTCTAAACCGGAGGAAACCAGGAGGTGAGTTGGGCAACAGTGAGCCCCTTTTTGATCTGTTGTGGCCAAACATGGCACCAAGCTGCCGTCTTTGAGGGCGCCCAAATGACCACGGAGCCACGACTGTAGCACCAAACAGTCAACACTGGAGCAAAGGAGCAGCAAAACGATCTGAGATAGAGGAGGAATATGCCGCAAATACCAGTACGGGAAAGGGCTCTCGCCAAATGGCAGCATGGGTCGTTTTTCCAGTGGTCTCAGTCTCAGTGAGCGCGCATTTGGCATGTTCGAAGAAGAAACACAATGGCAATGTTGAAGCTTTGCTGGAAATGAGCTTGATTGTGTAGTGGTATAAGTCATTGCAAGGGTCTCTTGTTGGACTAAATCGGCTGATATTCCCGCCCTGCAAGCGTTGAATTGATGGATGATATGGCTCATCGGAAGGTCATTGCAAAACGTGTTGATGCTCTCAGATTCTTGAGGTAGCATGCTGACACGGCGTGGACGGTCGCTGTGACGCGCATGCTGTCATTCCCCACTCCCCAACACCATCCAGCCTCCAGGCAGACTTCAAAACAGTCGGATGGGCGCATTAGCTCCAAGAACTGAATATACATCCCTTGAAGGACACATCCAACTTTGGGCGTATACACTTGGTGGCTCCCAGCCATCCGGTTCCTTAGCCTTTTAGGTTTTTACTGTTTGGTGGTAATTTCCATCTAACCCGCTAAAAGTTAAACTTTTAGCAGGGGATGTGAGGGCACCCCAGTACAGAGAGTTATGGCAAGTGGATGTTTTGATACAGTCAACTGCCTGTGTAAACAAGGAGCACATAGTTGTAGCCGCACAAGTCAGTAATTAGTCTACCAGAGTCCTTTCTCAAAAGTTGCAATCCACTAGTGGCGTCCATTGAAACTGCCACTTTGGGAGGTTCCCAAAAAACGGAAATGAAGGAACCCCTGTCTATGATCCTTTTCAGAGGACCATGGGATGAGCCCCAAATTGCCTACCAGGCGCCACAAAAATCGCCCGGACGCGCGTGGCAGGAGCTGCTCTTTGGCGCTGCCTCCTGCCTCGTGCTGCTGGCCGGGCTCGAGAAAGCCGCAGGTTTTTTTGAGCCCTCGGTTCCATTCAAAGGGATCCCATTTCGGGTACCTGTTCTTGACCAGCCGTATGTTTGTTTAGTTGCTTATACATATATATATATATATATATATGGTCACCCCCCCCCCAGGGCCTACCTTTGCCCTCTTCTAGTTGAAGGTGTCAACTCTACTCTGTGTGCCTCTTTCTTGCAGATGCCTGAACACACGGTAAAATACAGTGTTTCGTTGCTTTTCTACCTTCTATATGACAGCAGATGTCTGATTCTTTGAGGCTTGAAAGGCAGCAAAGCGAAAACGGAATCCGTTTTCGGATTCAAGTCTGGCTTTGTTTGAATCACTGGTTTTTACAGTGGTTTTGAGTACACCAGGGAAAAACATTGAAAAAAATGATGTTTTTGGCAGCTTTGAGCTCTGCAACCTGCACAGACCCAAAAGCACAAAATCTCCTGAAAATGAAAGCTCTGAGACCTGCACATGCCAAACACATCTCCAGACCAAGTTTGGGAGTCTGGGGATATGTGCCCTTTATTTGTTTAGCCACATTTAAGCTAAATCATATTTGGGAATGAGTTACTATTAAATTTTGTTTGCAAAGGCCAAGTGATTTCTTTCCAGAATAAGCCATATTCCAATTCAAGTTGTTTTTGGGGATGGATTCTTGATTAAATTATTATGTTCAAAAGCTAATTGAATTCTGTCTGCATTAAAGTATATTTGGATTCTACTGCAATGATATTTTCCTTGTTTGGAAAGGTATTCCTGTTCAAATTCTGATCTAATATAGACATTATGGTGAATTATGAATGGTGGTGAACTATGTGCTTACTAAATTCCATTCAATATGCAAGTTCAATTCGGATCAAAATCGTATTTGGAAAGGAATGTGTACTTGGATATGTTGGACTCCAGGCTCCAAATTATGAGGCCTGGAGAATCCAACATTAGACATTTCGAGGATTCTGATCTCCAGATTTTAGGTTTCAGGTGTTTCAAATTGGACATTTCAAGGGATTAGAGATCCAACAAAATGCTGTAAAACACAGTGTTTTGCAGCAGTTGCTCAGAGTGTGTTCCCTTGGACCGAAGATTGTTTTCCCCAAACAACAGTTTTCCCTTCAACATTCCAATTCAATTCGCAGTATTTGGAAAGGAATCTAGAATTAAAAATGTTGGAGGACTCCCAGCTCCAAAATATCAGGCTTGGAGAATCCAACATTAGACATCTCGAGGATTCTGATCTCCAGATTCTAGGTTTCAGGTGCTTCACCATGGACATTTCAAGGGATTGCAGGTCCAACAAAAAACTGTAAAACAAAGTGTTTTGAAGAAATTGCTCAGATTGTGTTCCCTTGGGCCGAAGATTGTTCATTTCCCAAACTCACACCCCCTGTCCTTAAAAATAAGAGGGTTTTGTGCATTTTGAAGTGGAAAGGTAGGCCCTGGGGGAGGGGGGGGGGTGAGCATATATATATATATATATACTTTTTTTCTGGGCCTGCGGCCTCTAGCCGGCTACGCCTCTTTGAAGTTATATTATGTCATGTCATGTTTTTGCATGAGAAACGTAGCGTGTGCTATGATATGGCTGGTTAGGTTATGCATGTTGCCCACCTTAACCCCAGATAATGCCGGGGATGCCGGCTTTCTGGGCCCCATCCGGCCCCCAACCCAGAAGGCTGACATGGGGTCGCGCGCGCGCGCGCGCGCCAGAGGACCCAAAAAAAGCAGCCCAAAAAGAGCAGCCCGCAAGCCAGGCCGGAAACGCAAATGCAACACAACACCGTAAATAGCAGTGTTTTGTGGCCGGGGTCGCGCGCGCGCGCGCCCGAAAACCAACGCGAAAAAAGCAAGGACTGCGCAGCGCGCGAGCCAGCCACAGCAAAAGCAAAACGGACAGAACAACAGCCCAACGCTCAGCACAGCAGTTTTTGGCGGTATTTACAGCGTTTTGTAGAGCGAGGACCCAGCCTCGCCGGCATGCCCGGCAGCGCTTGGCGCCAAAATGCGCAAACATGAGCCTCGCAAATACCCCGCCGATACCAACAAAAACAGTGCTTTTTGGGTGGAGAGGCTTTTTGGAAGGAAGTCTTGATGATGCAGACCAAGCCCCGCTGAAGCATCACCCAGGCCCAACCCCAGACCCTGACGATGTCAGCCACATGGCCTAAACCCTGCATATACGCGATGTTTCGCGATTCCCACAGTCAAGCAAAACCGCAAGCCCGAGCTGGTGATGCAGAGGTGCCGGATTTAGGCCGCGCATCACGACCAAGTGGCGAGGGTCGGCGGCACCAGGGTGCAGCCCCTATAGCTAAAGCTAGCAGGCTAATTGCCTAGCGGCGACATGCTACCCCAAGGAGGCGTAGCCGGATTTACACGCTGACGCGACACAGCCACCGGGCACCCCTTCCCGTTCTTTCATTTCCTTTCCCTCAAAGTCCTGTGAGTTCTCGGGATGATTTGAACTTCACTTCCTTTGCATGTCTTCCCTGACAGTTTCCTGGCATGTCCCTTCACTTCCTTCCACTATTCGCATTCCTTTCCCTTTCCGTTCCCGCTGTCCGGCTCCCTTCACGTTCTGCCCTTGCATCTCGGTTTCTCTCCAGTGCCCTCTTCATTTTCGTGCAATTCCTTCGACTTTCATTTCGTTCACTTCCAGTCACTCCTGTTTCCTTGCATTTCCCCTTCAGCCCCTTGTTTCGCATCGCCAGCATACAGAACATCATCCGCATCATCCGGGATGATGCTGGCAATGCTGGGGGCGTTGTCCAGTATTAGGCACCCCCTAAAAATACTCGTTTTTGGACTCGTTTTTGGACGCTGCGGGGAGCTGGTACAAAAATCGCTTGAACCAATCCGCAAATCCTTCGCCCCTTATAAGGGAGGGCCCAGCACAAAACGTACGCGAATGGTCGGATCATGGTCTGCGCATGGTCGGCGGCATGGGGCGGACGGCCTTATACCTGAAGGTAAGCCCTGCGGGCTTGGCCTGCGGCCCGATCAGCAAGTGTGATGGCTGGGCAAGCGATCGCTCCGCAGTCTTTCCGCGCGCGACCCATTCGAACTCTTGATTGAGCGCGAACAGTTGCTCAACTGGGGAGGCCCCTCTGTGCGAAGCCAGTTTAGTAGCTTTTGCGGCGCCGAAAATATGGTGCAGGCTGAACCTCACAGCTCTTGCAAGGACGGCAAAGCAGGCAGCAGCAACAACAACAAAAACATACCTACATATTTCCCATCTATTTTCTTTCCATTTCCCGTCATTTCGCCATGTCCCCTTTGGCACGCGCGCGCAAGCAGACACGCGGGCACGCACGCGCGCTCACGCACGCACACCCACCCACGCACGCACCCACACACAGGCTCACACACACACACACACCAGACGCACGCGCAACACCCACCCACCCACCCACCCACCCACCCACACACGCGCTCACGCACCCACGCATCCACCCCCACACACACACACACAGAGAGACACACAGACACAAAGACACACACCCACACACACACACACACACACACACACACACGCACACACACACACACACGCACACACGCACCCACACACGCGCGCACGCACGCGCACTCACGCACGCGCACGCACGCACGCACGCGCCCGCACGCACGCACGCACACACGCACCCACCCACCCACCCACCCACCCACCCACACACACACACACCCACGCGCGCGCGCGCGCACGCACGCGCACGCGCACGCACGCGCGCAAACGTGCGCTCACGCACAAACGCACGCACGCGCGCTCACGCACGCACACCCACCCACGCACGCGCTCACGCACCCACGCACCCACCCCCACACACACACAGAGACACAGATACGCAGACACACACCCACACACACACACACACACACACACACACACACACACACACACACGCACGCACGCACGCACGCACGCACGCACCCACCCGCCCGCCCGCCTGCCCACCCACCCACCCACCCACCCACCCACGCACACACGCAGCGCGCGCCCGCGCGCGCTCGCACACGCCCGCACACGCACGTGTGCGCCCGCGCACGCACGCACGCGCAGGCGCGCGCGCACGCATGCACGCACGCATGCGCGCACGCACGCACGCGCGCAGGCCCGCGCGCACACGCACGTGGGCCAGTTGCCACGCAAAACGCATGTCAAAACCAATCGTTTTCCTTGGTTTTGCAGTAAAACCCTGCATTTTCACATGTTTGTCCGGTGTTTCAAGGCTGCAGCAGGACGCCGTGTGGAAGGCAGCTCCCAGCAACGTCTCCAGCATCACCAGCATCACCCGCATCACCGGGGCAAGACCGCAGACTTGCAACCCAAGGTTGCAGACCCAAAAACAAGCCCAAAAGCGCACCCGCCGAGAAGCAGATGATGCAGGTGATGCTCATCACTTTCCTTTTCACGCATCCTCGGCATGCAAAGGGTCGGCGGCACCATGCGCAGCCCCATAGAGCTTCGCTCTAGAGCCTTGCTCCAAAGGACCAAGGTGGTAATCTGACACAGCCGTTCGGCCAGTTGGCCGCGGCCGGATTTACGTTGCTGGCGCACAACCGGCCGCGGCAGCATCGCGAGGCTCAACCTGACAGCTCTTGCAAGGACGGCAAAGCAGGCAGCAGCGACAACCTCAGTTTTCCATCCATCTTCCACGTTTCCCATCTATTTTCTAGCCATTTCCCGTCATTTCGCCATGTCCCCTTGACCGCCCGCCCGCCCGCACGCACGCAAGCACGCGCGCACAAGCACACACGCGGGCACGCACGCGCGCTCACGCACGCACACCCACCCATGCACGCACCCACACACAGGCACACACACACACACACACCAGACTCACGCACAACACGCACCCACCCACCCACGCACGCGCTTACGCACCCACCACACACACACACGCGCGCACGCACTCGCACGTCACGCAAGCACCCCACACACACACGCACACCCTCCCACCCACCCACCCGCCCACCCC